TTCAGAGGAACCATAAAAGCCTGTTTTTTCTTTTGCTGTGTAATCTTGCTTCCAAGAAGACAGCTGGGTGGCTTCTTTTGAAATATCCCAGAGCTTCTCAAATGGAGAAGGAAACCAAGATCAGCCTTTGCTAAAGGGCTGTGTGGTGACATAAAGCAGGAACCCCTCATGTTAATGATTTCATGTTAAATGACCTTATGTTGAAGTTAAATATAGGAGAAGTGCATTGTGTGTAAGAATTGTTACTCTTCTTGAAGGCCTTGAGATTTATAAGCACCTTAAGAATATTTGAAGAATATAAGTGATTCCATTTGGAAGAAAAAGTTGCATCCTTTTCATCAGTCTTAAGTAATACATACTAAATTCCAAACAGTCATGGATACTGGAATTAGAGATTATAAGGCAAAAAAGTATTCAGTAAAAACAGCACTGTTTTCCAAACATGTTTGCAAGGTGTGTCCTGTGTCTAATTCAGGTTTGTCCTGTGTCTAATTTGGGTTTTAATTGTGAGAGAAGGACCTGCTAACTTCCATTTCTTTGCTTGCAGAAGCCATTCACGCCATTCTGCTTTACAGCCAGAACGTGGAAGAACTTCTGAGACGCAGGAAGGTCTATCGAGAAATAATCTTCAAGTATTTGGCAGCACAAGGAATTCCAGTCCCTCCTTCCTTGGAGAAACATCTGCTCATTGACCGTGTGAGGCAGTTCTGGAGTGGGCAGCTCTCAGCTCGAGCCTTGGAGTCGGGGCAGACAAAACTGCCTGCAGAGGTGAGTCCTGCTCTCTGGAAAACCTGCGGGTGCTCAGCTCTGCTTTGGCAGGACGCCCCGTGGAAATGTTGTAATCCACCTTCAAAATGGGGCCCTTCAGGTGTGTTTAGGAAGATACCACATCCTTTTAACTCTTGGTTTGGGTTTGGTTGGGGTTTTCTTGTTTCTTTGGTTTTTGGTTTTCTTTTATTTTTGTTTGTTTGGGGGTTTTGTTTTTTGTTTTGATTTGGGGTGGGGTTTTTTGTTTTGTTTGGGGTTTACATTTTTGTGAGTTTTCTTTAATTCATCGTTTAAAGGTGTCTGTGCCAGTGTATCACTTGCAGAGCGCAGTCTTCTGCTCTGTTTCATACAGTATATTAGTGCATTTGAACTCTAATGTGTAGGGTCTTCTCCGGGCTTTTAATTTTTAGATTGTACTGTGAGCTAAAATAGAGGATATTTGCAAATAACTTTTTTGCAGTTACAGCTCAGACTAGATTTTAGCAAATTTATATGTCATTGAATTGCAAAGTTTGTAGCAGTGCCAGATCCCTGTGCTTTGTTTTCCTTTGATATTAGTAACACTTAACACAGTGTAACTAAATGTGTTTTGGCAATTCCAGGTTATTTTGAAGTTCAAAACTTTGATATTTAGCAAATCCTAGCGGTGGGATGAACTTTCAGTATTTTATTTATCTTGGATGTAACACAATTAGAAGTTAATTACAGTTGATGGTGAAACAAATACAGCATTTCTATATAGAAGTCTCCAAACTTTTCGTGCTTAATTACTTAAAACTTAAAACACAGGTAATGTATTGCTTACTAGATTTTGGAGTTAACAAACTTGGTGAAGACTACAAACATCTCTTGTTAAAGTTGCCAAACATCTTTTGGATGATTTTTGGCAGTCTTCCTACCAGAAAGGGCTAAATTGTAAGTACATCGTGTGGTGGAGAAAAAGTTCTGGAACACATTAATGTTTTGAGTTTCAGTTCTTCCTGGATTAGTTGTGCATTTTGTTATCACATCCCACTGACACAGGGAAAATACCCCCATAAATTGGCATTATTTTGTCAGCATTAGGATTTGAATAAAAGGTAACTTCTCAATAGATACTATTTGTTCTTATCAGCTTCTTCTCAGCAGATGCAGAAACCAACACAATTCACCAAATTAAAAGGTACCAAAAAGAAGAGGCCGAAGGCAACATGAAAAAGGAAAAACCTGTCAACACAATTGCTTATTTATAAGCAATTTTCAGTAAATTCATCTGCCTTAATATGAGATTGGCTTTTTAGGTTGGGTCTGGAACATTCTTTTGGAAATGTAAAGGACAACAAAAAGTTACTAACCCGGACACTTTATTCAGCAGAAACTTTGTCTCAGTATGAGAATCTTAGTCTCATGGATATTGTTGAAAATCATTCCCCTGCCCCTTTTCACTAGAACCAGGATTTTTCTCTTTGTAAGGAGACCAAGAAGCACTCTTCTTGCAAAACTGAAGCACTCTTCTAATTGAAAGAACCTCTCTAGGTTCTCTATATAAGATAATCATGTTCTTAAAAATAAATGAGATTTTACTTTGAGCTTTCTCTGTCACAGAACACTTGAAGAATACTTAGAATGTTTAAAATAAGTATGTGCATAATTTTATGTTCTGAGTGGTAATTTTGCATTTTAAGGCTAAATAGTTCTAAGAAAAAAATTTTGCTTGATTCCAGAGTCATGGAGAGGGAGGAAAGCCACCACAAGATGACATTGGTGGTCTGGGAGGACAATTCTGTCAGTGGTACTTTGAACTCCTGAACTCTCAACATCCCTTGGGAGTAAAATCTGAAGATACATGGGGACCACAGCATTTCTGGGAGGATGCCAGAATGAAATTCTGCTACGACACTTCGGAAAAGAACATGGAACAGTACGTTGGTGCGGACATGGTGAGCCTTCGGCTGCTCTCCTTGGTGAAGGAGGAATGCCTTCTCTTCAACCCCAACCTGCATGGCAATGGCCTCAAATATGCCATGTCTCCTCATGGCTTGGTGCTGGTGGCAGTGGCTGGCACAGTGCACAGAGACAACACTTGTTTGGGCATCTTTGAGCAAATCTTTGGGCTCATCAGCTGCCCCGTCAGGAATAACACCTGGAAAATAAAACTCGTGAATCTTAAAATAGTCGGACAGAACGCTCTGGAGCCTGGGATGCAGATTGAGGAACCCTCCATAAAATATGAGCTGAACCAACTGAGAGAGTTCTATGATGGGAAGGAACTGACCGTGTTTGAACCTCAGAAATTCTGAGAATCTCAGAAATTTTTTCGCACTGGGTCAGGGTGGATGCTTGCACCCTTTTCTGACTAAGATTGTCTGGGTGGCGCACTGAGATACAGAGTCTAAAGTATTAACACAGGGATTACTTGTGGGCACCTTTCCAAGAGCTATCACATATTTCAGAGTATTACTTCAGGTTTTGCACTGTAGAGTGGAGTTACTTTGGTTATCCTGGTACAAAACGTGGTTACATTTCACTGTGGGCTGGCAGGAATGTCGAACAGATGACCTGGGGTTCACAAACTGCACATTCCTTCTCTTCAGGACACCAGTTTAAACTCTTACCTGAGATGGAGTAGGAAGTCATCACACTTGACTTTGGGAATTTGGGATGGGCAGGTGTCTAAATGGACATCTAAGTCCCAAGAAGCTTTTGGAGAGGGCAGACAAAATTCTGTGAGTGGAGGGATGGAGGCAGCTGCCATTTATGTTCTGAATGTGGTTTAATGGGACATTTCAGGGAATTTAACACTGTTGAAGTCTTTTTTGGTTTTTGCCTTTGGATGTATAGCTTCCTTTCCTTTTACCTTATGGTTCCAGCTTCGTAATGAACACAGGCAAACTGCTGTTCTGTGTCCCCAAACAGACAGGTTTGAGATGGTTGCCCAGGCACCCATTTCTAGCACTGGCTCTCTTGGATCAAGTAGTTCATTCCATAACTTGCAGCAGCACTGTATGAACCAAATGCTTTGATAGTTATTTTGTATATAATTATAACGGAGTTCTTTATATAATAGTTGTGATTTTTGTATGTTTCCTCAAAATAAGTATTTTGTGTACTCTGAGCTGCTTTATTCCATTGACTGGAAATCAGTTTGTTAACACTGGCTGGTTACAACAATAGGTCATACTAAGAAAAGTCTCCAAATACTACTCAATAACTGAAATTATTGCAATTATAGACCTTGATTTTTTTTACTTTATTTATTTATAAGGAATTAGAGGTGAAACGAAACAGAAACGCCTCTTTTTGCATCTTATTTGGGTTGTTTGTGAGTTTACTTTAATTTTCTAGCTTCAGCAATTCATGTTGTGAAAATGGAAACATTCCCCAAAAGATACAAAACCAAAAGAACTGTTCCCACATTTGTTAAAGAGGACAAATGGTAAAGTATGGGTGGGTGAAGGGAAACAAGAAGATTCAGGTGTGCACAGAACTGACTTTTATGAGCAGTCTGGATCTTGTTTTCTCCTTAGAATTTTCTAAAATAATTTCTAAGCTAAAGTTCAAATACTGTGTTGGAATGTTCTTTGCCAATAAACAGCTGAGCTGCAGCTTCTTCAGCTACTGATGTTTAATAATTAAAAATCAAAATTTAAAATTCAGAAGAAGAGTTTCCTTTTATGTGTTGAACTTTGCACTAATCAAATTCTGTAAAAAGAGAAATATAGTAAATAGAAATAAAATATATCTTCAGTAGAGATATCAACAATCATAGGATTTGGCTTTTAGCCCGTGCAATGTATTTCAGTGTTCAAAGAATTTTGGTTTTGAAGACTGACAGCAGTTTGAAAGTATCTTTTGTTTTTCTGGAAACAAAGTAGAAATCTGAAGTTAAAGTGTAGTGTTTCTCTCCCAGCTTGGAATCAACAGGAACTGTTGTCAGCAGCTGTTTTTCCAGATGCATTTCACTCAGAACCACTAGGTTTTGAGTGTAATGTGTTCACCAACATAGGGCTCTTCTGCCTTCTGTGCAGTGCTGACATACTTGCAGTGAGATTTCGAGTTTTGGTTTGTGGCTGATGTGAACTTAACTCTTTCTCTCTTTCTCTCTCTCTCTCTCTCTTTCTCTCTCTCTCTCCCTCTCCTTCTCTCCTTCCTTCTGTCCTTTTCTTTCTCCCTTTCTCCCTTCCTTTCCTTTCTTTCTTCCTTTCCTTTCTCTCTTTTTCTCTCTTTCCCTCACCTCTGTTAACACCTGCATGCCACCTAAGTAAACCTGCAATACGGAGTGATACCAGTTGATTGCAAGGAATCCTCTTTTTTTTTAGACTCATTTTCAGCTCAGCAGTGGAAAGGAGCGACCTGGTGTAGCTGCGGGGGTAATAACAGCTCTCTAACCATCCCTGCCCTGTCTGCTGGAAATCCAGCGGCTTGGGAAGTCTCAGCAGGCGTCATGGCCTGTGGGTGACATCTGCTGGCAGATTCATCGCTTGCTGAAGGCAGTTCCTCAGCCCTTGATAAGCATCTGAAAGGATGCTTTAAAGATATCAACCCCTCGGTGAAGTCAAGCTGTGACGTTCAGGATACCTGTTGTTCTAGGGCTGTGATGAAGTAGCTTCCTGGCAACAAAATTTCAGGTGACTTGTTAACAGATGCATTTCTTTGGGCATCTCCTTCCCCGTTTTTTTGTCCTTGCTCTGCTGACTGGGATCCTTAAGGCACCGTAGTTGCTTTTTCTCAGTATTGCTCAGAATTGCAAATTTTAATCACCTCTCAGGCCCAACAAGGGAACCTTCATTCAGTGGTAATATGTGTCTGCATCATGCTTTGTTCCAAGTGTATCTTCTTTTTTTTCCCCTACCCCAGGTTCCCCAGTTCTAATCATAATCATAGTTACTGAACACCTACTTTGCCTCAGTTTTTAGCAGTAAGACAGGTGGCCCTCAGGACAACTGGCCTCTAGAGCAGATAGACAGAGACAGAGAGCTGAATAGCCCTCCTGTATTCCAGGAGGATGTAGTTAGCGACTTACTGAGCCAGCTGGATCCTAACAAGTCTATGGGATCCATCCCAGGGTGATGAGGGAGCTGGCAGAAGAGCTTGCCAAACCGCTCTCCATCATCTTCCAGCAGTCCTGGCTCTCTGGGAAGGTCCCAGATGATTGGAGGTTGGCGAATGTCACCCCAATCCACAAAAAAGGCTGCAAGCAGGACCCTGGCAACTACAGGCCTGTCAGCCTGACCTCGGTGCCTGGCAGGGTTATGGAGCAGATCATCCTGAGTGCAATCACACAGCACCTTCAGGATGGACAAGGGATCAGACCCAGCCAGCACGGGTTTAGGAGGGGCAGGTCCTGTCTGACCAACCTGATCTCTTTTTACGATGAGGTGACCCACCTGGTGGATGAGGGGAAGGCTGTGGATGTGGTCTATCTAGACTTCAGCAAGGCCTTTGACACTGTCTCCCATAGCATACTCCTGGAAAAGCTGGTAGCCCATTGTCATGGTTTGAGATAGCCCCAACATCCAATTCCCTAGCTCCATTCCCCCTCCCACATCTCAACCTAATGTGAGATGGGTTTTTCCAGACAAAACACACCAGACTCAAAGTGGGGGAAAGGGAATATATTACAATGACTGTACAAATAAATACCATATCACATTATACACATGATCACAAACTATCTCTACCATGACATATGTATTTACAATGGATCAGATCTCTTCTCCCCTCCAAATAAAAGTCCAGGAGGGAAAGAAGGACAGATCCCTCCAGTCCTTAAGCAGCAGCATCTTCTAAGGCAGCAGGTTTCTTCTTCTCATGCATGCAGCAGCTGTGGCTGGCTTTTCTGCCAGCATCCACGAGGGAGGTATCCAAGCCTCTCTCTCGGCCCCATCGCCTCACAACCGAGGGGTCTTCCGTGGACTTCGTAACCCCAGACAAGGTCGTTTCACCACGTCATATCACGAAGACACAGGGGGGTCTTCGTGACGGTCTGGTATCTCTTGCAGGGCCTCTGTGCCCTGTCTCTCAGGCTGCCACTGTGGCAGCAGTGCAAGGGGGGGAAGAGCCAAGGTCAACTCCCCCTGCATTCCTCTCAGAGCTCTCTAGCTCCTTTCTACAGTGCATGTCGCACTTCAAGGCTCTTTCAAGTAAGAGTCCATCATCTTCCTCCTTCCAGGAGGTCTCAAAGGAGTTTTTGGGGATCTGGTATCAGTCTTACCCCCAAGAACTCTGTAGCTCTCAGCTGCTGGCTCTCCTTTCCTCGACTCTCCTTCCAGGAGTCTCCTCTGCAGTGCTGCATGTTGCTTCTGCTGCTTCTTCAGTTCAGGTTCTTATCTCTGGCTCTCTGCCACTGTTTCTCTGGTCAGCGTCGGCTGCTGCTCTGTGCCCATGGAGAAAACATCTCCCGGCATAACTACAGGCACCTAGCCCAGCTTTATGCTGTTCCAGGTCCCTGCAGCCCCCAGCCAGGGGCTGGGAGGGGGCCAGAGGCCCCAAGGGGCTCAGAGCCCCTTCCTCGTGGCTCTACAACATGGCCACCTCTCCTCCAACCACCAAACTACAACTCTTCTTTTCCGGTCTGGTTGTGGTATGTTTACATTTCTGCAGGAGCGCCCATTGGGCAGAACTTCAAAACTTCCAGGGGTTTCCACCCCTTGGGGTCTACCACTTCTCTTAGCCCCTGGGGAAAACAAGGTTCAAACCACTACACCCATGGCTTGGACAAGTGTACCCTCTCCTGGATTAGGAGCTGGCTGGAGGGCTGGGCCCAGAGAGTGCTGGTGAATGGAGCTGCATCCAGCTGGCGGCCGGTCACCAGTGGTGTTCCCCAGGGGTCTGTGTTGGGTCCAGTCCTTTTTAACATCTTTATTGATGATTTAGATGAGGGGATTGAGTCCATCATCAGCAAATTTGCTGATGACACCAAATTGGGAGGGAGTGTCGACCTGCTGGAAGGCAGGAAGGCTCTGCAGAGGGATCTGGATAGACTTGAGAGATGGGCTGATTCCAATGGGATGAAGTTCAATAAAGCCAAGTGCCGGGTCCTGCATTTTGGCCACAACAACCCCATGCAGCGCTACAGGCTGGGCACAGAGTGGCTGGAAAGCAGCCAGGCAGAAAGGGACCTGGGGGTACTAATTGACAGGAAGCTCAACATGAGCCAACAGTGTGCCCAGGTGGCCAAGAAGGCCAATGGGATCTTGTCCTGTATCAAAAATAGCGTGGCCAGCAGGAGCAGGGAAGTGATCCTTCCCCTGTACTCTGCGTTGGTGAGGCCACACCTTGAGTATTGTGTTCAGTTCTGGGCCCCTCAGTTCAGAAAGGATATTGAGGTGCTGGAGCGGGTCCAGAGAAGAGCAACAAGGCTGGTGAAGGGACTGGAGCATAAGTCCTATGGGGAGAGGCTGAGGGAGCTGGGGTTGTTTAGCCTGGAGAAGAGGAGGCTCAGAGGTGACCTCATCACCGTCTATAACTACCTGAAGGGAAGTTCTAGCCAGGTGGGGGTTGGTCTCTTCTCTCAGGCACTCAGCAATAGGACAAGGGGGCACGGGCTTAAGCTCCGCCAGGGGAAATTTAAGTTGGATATCAGGAGAAAATTCTTTACAGAGAGAGTAATCAGGCATTGGAATGGGCTGCCCAGGGAGGTGGTGGATTCACCATCCCTGGAGATTTTTAAACGCAGATTGGACGTGGCACTGAGTGCCATGATCTAGTAAACGGACTGGATTTGGACCAAGGGTTGGACTCGATGATCTCGGAGGTCTTTTCCAACCCAATCGATTCTATGATTCTATGATAAAAATGCAAAAGAAACAGCCAAATATACTAGAAATTATGTTTGAACAGAGATGCTGGACATGCCCAGCCCATCACGTTTTGTATAGAGTAGAATGAAAACTAAGATACTTGCTTTGATAAACTTACAGAAGGAACAAAACCCAGCATTTTTGGGTTTGTTGCCAGTAGTAATTGCCCTAACAGCAGCTCTTTAGAGACTGGATGAGAACAAAGCAGAGGTTTTTGTGAGAAGAATTGGCAAATTGAGTAGAACTTGCAGGTGGCAGGTAGAAAACAATGAGGAGATGCTTCTTTGCACTTAGATAAGTGTCAGGAAGAGTTTTTAATCTATATTTTTCCATTTAATGTATCTTCTATGGTTTTGCCACTTTTGCCTATCGTATCTAGTCAGTGTGCAGTGTCTCAGCTCTCTGGACAGGCGTTTTCACAGATGTATTGTAACTTGTTTTTGAGGAGACCTAGGCACTCTAAATCCTTTCAGCTACACAAAGAAACTGGGGGTGGGGGAGCAGCTTTTGTGGTAAAAATTATAAATACTTATGACATCTGTTTTTTGCATGGTTGCATTTCCAGCTTCTTCCTCTCTCTCAAGTTACTCCTCAAAGAGTAAATAAAATAAAATAAAATAGAGTAATAAATAAAATAAGTAAATAAATTAAAAAGAGTAAATAAAATCATACAATCACTAAGGTTGGGAAAAGACATCTAAGACCAAGTCCAGCCATCAGCCCAGCACCACTGTGTTCACTGCTAAACCACATCCCCAAGTGCCACAACCACACACTTGGTGTGCAACAGTTCCAGGGCTGGTGATCCCCCCACTTCCCTGGACAGCCTGTTCCAATGCCTGACCACCCTTTCAGTGAAACAAATTATTCCTGGTATCCACTCTTAACCTCCCCTGGTGCAATTTGAGGCCGTTTCCTCTCCTCCTGTCACTTGTTACCTGAGAGAAG